GCTTCTCCTCAGCCTGCCATTAAAATCGTACCGCATCCGGAGTGCGCTGGACGTTGCAGGGCGAGTCTGAAAGGGCGCCGAGTCTGCGTGGGGCACTTTCCAGACTTCGTTAAGTGAGCTGTGGATTGATTCCAGATACATTGCTTCTGTGCCTGCCCTGTCTCTGAAGACTCGCCTAATGAGTAGGCCAGTCGGGGCTGAGCGCCAGGAGCTCCCTCATTTTCATTGGTCGCTGGGCACCCTATGCCCAGCGACCAATGCTGTGGAAAGGGTTAATGCTGTTGGACTGAGCGCTGCCATCTTTCTCTGGGCTGAGCATACCGGGTCCCGCCATAGTGTCAAGGCATCTTCTCTCTGCTGCCACATGGCACTTCAATCTGTTCCTACTGCCCGCCTGCAGTCACTGACTCTCACCTGCTACCATCTGTCAGGGACTCATGAGTACTGGAGGCCTTGCCTCTTATCCTGAGCCTGCATGTTTCCTAAACGCTTTACACCTGCAATATGTCCGATTCAAGACACCGCGGGGGGTCAGTCTTGCTATACAAGGTGCCTCCAAGCTCACGTCCTACAACAGGTTAGGGCTGCTTGTGGCACGCTTACTAATGCTGCCCGTGTCTCCAGGCTGGAGTCATGTTGTCCCCTGCTGTCAGAGTCCATACCGTCTTTGGCTCCGTTGGGTGTAGCCGAGTCCTCAGACCTTCTCCGCTGAGGTTCTAGCACCAGTCACACAGGACTTTATGACCATTACGGCCGCTCTTGATGCTGAAACTAGAGCAGTGGTTCTCAACCTTTCTAGGGCCGGGACCCCTCGGTAACATTTGCCAAGTTGTGGTGACCCCCAACGGTAAAATTTAGGGTTGACGCGGCTGCTGCAGCGACATCTGGCAGCGTGGCGGGAGAACTGACACTGCTGCGCTAGGAGAGGGCTGAGGAGGACTCTCACCTAGCACAGCAGAAATCACACAGCGACCCCACAGCTAGAGAACCACTGTTGTAACAGCTAAAATGGCAAACCATATAACACAAGGCGAGGGTGTCAGCTTTTATTATTAATAATAATGATGATAATCACTACATGGGGACCTGATGGAGAACTGCAGGTCCCCCTCTGCTGATTGACAGCAGCAGTGGGCGGGTGCAATAGCTAGTTTGCTATTGCAAAGTGAAATAACCAATAGGAATCTAGCTATGCATTCCAAGCAGAGCACTTTCCGGGAGAAAGTGTTTCTCTCCCGGGCGGCCGGGAGCCGCTATCTAATAGCGGGAGACTCCCAGCGACCCCTGGCAAATTGTCATTCGACCCCCGAAGGGGTCCCGACCCACAGGTTGAGAACCGCTGAACTAGAGGATCAGCCGGTTGCTTCTACCAGTACGGTCTCAAGCCTTGGGTCTTATCGGGCCCCTAAAATCTGCCCCTTTGCACCCGCTGTCGTGGGACCAGGGGTGCCATCTTTCCTGGGGTCCGGCGGGTGCGACGGAGATCGTAGGGTCCTTCCTGGGGTGAATTGGAGCCCGGCGGCAGGCGTACACATGAGCGCATGCGTGACATGCACATGTGGCACTGTCGTGGCTTTTTAGTCGCTTTGGGTGCTGATCATTGCCGAGGAGGGCCTTGCGAGCACTCCTCTCCCAGCCGTCCCATTGGTTCGCAGGGACCTATGGCTTCCTGGTTGCCCACACAACGGGGGCGTCGCTGGCCCCTGCTGGGTTTAAATCCCAGCCAGAGCCAAGACTTGTTGCTGAGATATTCTGCCAATTCCCAAAGCAGCTATGACATCTCATTTCCTGTCTCTCTTCCCTGCTATTTGGATCTTCTGGTTATCGACTCCTGGCTTGCCTCACCGTTTATGATACTCGCTGGGCGCCTCGACCCGGACTGTACTCTGACAATGCATTTTTGGATCACCCTATCTTGTACCTCAGCTTGGACTCTGCTTCTGGTATTGTTCCCTGCTATTGGGTTCCACTCCAGCAAACAGGGGGACTCCGCTCCTTCCCTAACACCCGCTTTTCCAAATGTTTTCATATAAAGATTGGAAGCACCTTGGTGGTCTATCCCCCCTGTGGATGCGGCAATATCTAGCCCCTGCTCTCGTTGGTGGGTCCAGCCATGCATCAGGCACGCCATGTCCTTAACTGCTGCTAAGCAACATGTGCGCCCATACAACTGGGAAATGTGCTCCTGCGTACAAAAACGACAATTGCGCCACGCCTATGTATGGCTGCACACCCCAGAGTGAGCGCGTATCGTATCTCTGTACATTGAAAAGGGTTTGAAGGGATTTGGCCATCGCTGCCATTGACCCTCTGCTTCTGGAACGGGTGGAGCAGATGACTGTGGCTTACTAGATGCCTCTTGCCCTGTTTCCCGCCCGAGTCTCCTGTCAGTGCTCGGGGAGCTTTGGCTAAAGGGCTGGACTATCTTGTAGGAAGTGTTTGATCCTCATGCCCAGCTCTTCAATCCAGCCCTCGATATCCTCATCAAGGATCACTCCTCTTCCCCAGCCGAAGAAGCCTATTATGGAGCAGACTGCCAAACTGTCTCCCTCTCTGACCATCAGAAAGTGACACTTACATTGTTTCCACTCCCTCAACTTCAACTTCCAGGCCCCCTGAGCTTGGCTCTCCACCCACCCGCAAAGCCTGGCACTTTCCTGAACCTGTGAGAATAAAATGTAAAGGAAGAGGGGGAGAGGAGGAGGAGGTGAGAGGGAGGGAGACCTACAGAAATAAACGTGTGATCTCAGCTTGACTCCTCTCGCTCACCGTAGCTGTTTCTATTCACTTGGGTTACCCGCCCCTTATTTCCTGCTTCCGGGTCACATGTTTCCTGTGACGTCACCGGGCAATCTGCAGGATAGGAACTAGCTGCTACCGTAATGTGACAGAGGACTGTATACTGGGTGAGTAATGGGGGGGATATAATGTGACAGGACTGTATACTGGGTGTGTAATGGGGGGGATATAATGTGACAGGACTGTATACTGGGTGAGTAATGGGGGAGATATAATGTGACAGAGGACTGTATACTCGGTGAGTAATGGAGGGGATATAATGTGACAGAGGACTGTATACTCGGTGAGTAATGGGGGAGATATAATGTGACAGGACTGTATACTCGGTGTGTAATGGGGGGGATAGAATGTGACGGAGGACTGTGTACTCGGTGTGTAATGGGGGGGATAGAATGTGACGGAGGACGGTATACATATAACGTGCTCCTCTTTGCAGTGTGCGATATGACGGGTGGGGGGTGCGGAGCGCCACAGGAACCCGGAGGTGACAGAGATGGTGAATCCAGAGTGAGGCTGCAGTACTTCCAGGAGTAACTTCCAAGGTATATCGGTATGTTCTGTGTCCTCTGTACAGCGCCGCGGTCTATGTCGGAGCGATATACATGTATTATAATGGGATCCCCACGTCTCCTTGTCCCTCCAGGAAGCAGCCTCTGGAGTCCAGGATGCCGGAGATGACTCAGACTGCAATCCCTACCTATGTCCTTATGTCACCTGACCCAAGTGTCGGCGGCCATCTTGGTAGAGGCAGAGGCTTTGCTTCCTCATGTCAGGGCTTCCGGGAAGGAGATCAGCGAGCAGCCCAGAGGTGTCATCACCGCGCTCCTCATCCATGGAGACGAGCGGTCAGTGGCCTTAGATGATCTCGCGCTGCGGATGTACAGCGATGGGGCCACAGGACAGGAAGTGCTGGGAGATTTTTCAGGAGGGGTGAGGACGGCGTGCACATTTTTAGGGGACTGCTTAGGCACAGTGAACATTTCCAGATGTTTCCGATACCGTACTGTTTGAAAGTGAATATAATTTTCTATTTTATTGGCCTTAAAGTTTTCATCACTCGGCGGCGCTTAGTGGCTGATCAGGTCTAGACTGTAGTCCAGCAGTGGGTGGGATCCTGCAGCTGGACAGGAGTAGAGGTAGTCCAGCATTGGGTAGGTTTGTGGGCGGGGTCTTGTGGCTGAGCAGGACTAGAAGTAGTCCAGCAGTGGGCGTAGCTCAGTGGCTGAGTAGGAGTAGACTGTAGTCCAGCAGTGGGCGGAGCTTAGTGGCTGAGTAGGAGTAGACTGTAGTCCAGCAGTGGGCGGAGCTTAGTGGCTGAT